GTTGACGGGAACTCGGGGACCGCGCGCCTTTCTGATGAGCCCCAAGGAGGGCAAAACCGGTCGTGGGCTGTCGAAGAGTTTTCAGCAACCTTGTGAGTAGTTTCCTTTACGAAGAGTTTCCAAGTTGTTTTTTTTCTGATATAAGGCGACTTATAAGACTAAAGAAGGACCGAAAGACCCACTGCTATAACTGTCAGTTGTACCCGAATGGAATGGTCACAAACAAAAAACTAAACATGGGCCAACCAGTTTGCAAATCAGGGACGCAAATGAGTCTCTCCTATCGACCAAATATGCTGCGTAAAGAACATTGCACTTTTCATCTGAAAAGATATTCAACATGTTCGGGTATTTTTCCACTTTCACACTTAAAAGCTTCTGGTGTTCAGTTATCAAACAAAAGTGATTGAAATTTGGGATTTATCCTACTTGGTGAATCTGTAGATTAAAGTTTTCATCAGCTTCCTGACTGGACTTTCGGAGAAATAATAAACGGATGACTGTGTTGGACTCGAGCACCGAGGGTAGCCAGTTCATAGCAATGACTGGTTTCCGCAACACCATCCAAAGGCAAAAATAACTGGAAGTTGGAGTTGGAACCAGCTACATATTTCATAGAACTTGGTGACTTATCTTATTCCGAAATTTCTTTACTGCTAAAGAACGTTGATTGATAAGATGATGATGATGATGATGATGATGACGGTGATGGTGATGACGATGATGACGATGATGATGATGACGATGATGATGATGATGATGATGATGATGATGATGATGATGATGATGATGATGATGATGATGATGATGATGATGATGATGATGATGATGAGAAAACTTCACTCGAGGACCAACCGATTCAGATACCAAGGGTATGGATAGAGTCAGGTCGAATTGGTGCAGTAAGTGACTGAAAGATGGACTGATTAGTAGAAAAAACTCAAAAGTACATTCATCAACATTTCTGTGTAAGATTGCTGGCTCGATATCACCACCTGCACTTCCCTTACCATTAATTTGGCTTTCACGAACACTCTTGTAGTCTGGATGCAAAGTTTTCGCACTCCGTTGAATGGGAGAGCCAAACGACTAAGACTAATTTTGCCCACCTGGTTCTATAACTCCTTTGCTAAAGCGAGATTTCACTTGCTGCCCAATTGAGGATTGCGTGAAAGCTCTTCTTGGAATTCTTCCTTTGTGATTGCGGCTTTACGGTTTGCATTGGCCACAAATTATCTGGAACCAATTTGTTATATCTGCTGATTCGCCGACCTGTGGTATCTGCTGCTAACCCGCTCCAGTGCCTACTGCCGAAGAAAAAAGACTCACAGAAGTGAACATCAGCATCATCATCATTGTCAGCTGTAATAACCGCGTACTCGTTGTACTGTGGTTGTAGCTGCCGCAGTTTCGTTCACCGATGATTTGGGGGGATAGGTGGCTGCGCATTGCAGACGCGAG